CCCCAAAACCCCAAAACCCCAAAACCCCAAAATGCCAATTCGATAAATTGATTAGTTTAATGACTAATGAAATCAAGATCTTATTAAATTACCAAACTCAAGCATTTTGGAATTGTACATTTAATAGGTAATTCAGCATTGTTCTTATCTAGATATTTTCTTATTCCATCTGTCTCATTTTTCTTTCCACTTTCATTCGCTTTGACTGTTCGACTAACAACTATCTATCAATATCATTCATTTGTTTTAGCAATACCTATTTCAATTCTTAATCTTGGATAACTTAGTTGAAGTCTGAGAGAGTTCCCTCATCAAATAACTTCCCAGTCTTTGCTTTCTACATATTAGATCTATACTCAGTTGGTACACTTTAAGATTACTGATTATCTTGCTAATTGGTTTTAGCTTTCTAAGCGGAATGAGAAATATTGGTGTTATGTCTCTGTGAGGTAAACTTGCTGACATTGTACCTCTGTTTATTATTGCTTTCTGGAGAAAGTTAGCTCTTAGGACTTGATGGCAAATGATCATGATCACCACTTGCTCCTTCATTCATGATTAAGATTGAGGATTCACTCAAGCTTGACTTATTTAAATGACTCGAGGAGGTATTCTGAATAGGATTAGAATCATTATGATTTACGAAGTTGCTATCTTGGAGATCGTTATTTAGATGACTGATCTCTATTGCACCAACATCTTGAACATGCCCTGACTTGTTGACTTCTTGATCTTAATTTTCGCTTAAGAAAAAATCATCATCAATATTTTCCATCTTGACATCCTACGGCATTTAAGATAGAGAATTATTATTAATGTTAGAATCTTAGTCTATCTCATTGAATGCTTGAATCATAGAAACGTCATCTTTATTTGTGTCATCCTTTGAGATAAGACAATTTAAGTTTAAATTGGGCTGGTCTAAAGAGTTGTCTGACTATTAATCCTAGATTTTATGAATAATAGCGTTTTTCAATCTCTTATCTTTAGGCAATGGTTTGGAATAAATATTTTGCTTTTTTGAAGGGTGGTTGCTAGTTGAAGGTCCAATTGAAGTATCAGTAATTAATATTTGATTTGATGATTCAGTTTTAAACTAGAAATGCTACTTTTACTTGTTTTTACTTGATGTTCTGATTATGCTACTTGATTTGGTATTCATGCTTTAATTAATTTATTGAGTATTAATATGGAAGGTTGCTGTTCCTATTATTTTAGAACTCCTTTTTGAAGTGGGACTTTTGCTTTTATTTTTCTTATTTTGTAATTACGATTTTAGAGCATTATTAATTTAGTGATACATATGCTTTCTCATTTCCATAGCTGGGGCTACTTCATTAACAACAGGTAAAGTGGTCTATTTCTGAACTGATGAATATTGTAAATTGTTATTACTATCAATGATATTTATACTCATTTAAGGTTGTTGAAGGTCCAATAGCTATATTATGTGAATTAGCATTTAAAGATAAGGGCTAATTAATCTATCCAGATGGCAGAAGTATGCTCGAATTAATAGATGAAAATCCTGATGAAATAGATTCCTTATGAGTGGTTGTGTTAGTATATTATATTTTGATGCCTTGAGCATTATTAGGCGATCTTAAAGTACTTAATTTACTTTACCCTTAAGGTTTTGATAAATTTTACTGATTAGGTTTTTTCATTTTTATTATCTAAAATTCTCATAAATTAAATTTTTCATTTTCCTTCGGGGTTTTGGGGTTTTGGGG